CAAACCATTAAAAACTTTGTTACTGTCCATTTATCTAGTTTGAATGTGGCATTTAAAGTTTCATAGTTCCACAGTTATATCTCTGGTACTCTAGTGTTTAAAAATATATTATTTTTAATGAGTCGTGGGTTTCACACGTGTAGCGAGTGAGTCTGGTGGTGTGGGCGTGGGCGGAGTGGGCGGCGTGGGCGTGGGCGGCGGCGGCAGCTCGCCCGCGTCCCCCGAGGGCAGGTCGCCGGGCGCCTCGCCGCGCCGCCGCTCCCCACACTATCGTGACTGTCATCCCACGCTCACGCACTTCAATCACTTCCACGCGCAGCCACAACAGGTAATATTATTCTTCCCCAACCTTGTGATGGTTTGTTACCTACTTGTTTGTTTAATGTATTTTGTGTGCAGGTGTTCAGCTACGGCGGGCTGGGCGGCGGCGCGGTGCTGGCGGGGGGCGGCGGCGGCTCTCCGCCCGGCGGGCTCGGTCTCTATGCGCCGCGACCGCCGCCGCGTGCACCTCCAAGGTACGTAATTTGTTAAATTTAAGCAACTAAAGAATGTTGTATTTATGTTGGTGTCTATAAATGCTTTAATATAATGTTTCAGGTGGAATGCTCCATTCCCGACATTAGAAGAAGAGTTCAACATAATGACGGCGCCCGGCGGGCCCGATCACGTCGTGCTTTTGGATGATGGTAAGCCAAGTCATAGCCTAGTCCCATTTTCTACTGGATCTGTTCAAACTATCTTTCCTGGTTCCAATGGTTCGATGTAATGTTTTCTCAGAGCGTTTCTTCCAATCGAACGTGATAAGTGCGGAGGGTAGCGCTATGGACACGAGCTCCGGCGTGTGCCCGGCGGGCGAGGGCGAGGAGCTGGCGCCCGACAAGCCGCTGCGCTCGCCGTGATGCCCGCCGCTGCGGTGGACGCCCGCGCCGCCGCCGCACTGGCGCCCCGTCGGCCTCGCGCACCGCACCGCGTGACCGCAGCCGCAACTGTCGCCACTCGCTCGCACATCACAGCCCGCCACTCACAGCTGACAGCTGACAGCCCGCCAGTTACAACTGACAGCTGACAGTCCGCCACTCACAGTTGACAGCTGACGGCCCGCCAGTTACAACTGACAGCTGACAGTCCGCCACTCACAGTTGACAGCTGACCATTTTGTTTTTCTTACGTTAAACTAAAGTCACTTTACTTTACGGCCAGTATACCAGGCTACAATGATTTTTTAAAAGCTGCTATGTGTCTTTGCAGCCAGTATGACAGCCCGTTTTTTTGTTTAAAGTAATACATTATTTATGTAAAGCCAGTGTTTTAAGTAAAGAATTATTGCTTAAGATACTGGTTGAAAATAATTTAAAAGTTCTGAAAGCACTTATAAAAATGGTTGTTGGTTTCGTTTTGTAATTTATGTGTTTAATTTTAAAATTGTTTTTCTTTCTAATGCAAATATTTTTCGGTAGATTATTATAAACGTTTATGTTTATTAGTAATTTAATTTTGATCTCTTTTTGATATACTTTATTCTACGAAAATATTAAATAATTTTTAAAACCACGGCCAAAACTGTAAATGCTTGGGCTTCATTTTGAAGTTTTTTTAAAGTGCGGCGGACATATAACGCGGGGGCGAGTGTAAATAACATTGTATATACGAAGAAACAAAACAAAACCGCGGCAAAGATTGTAGATGAAATAAATTTAAAATTCCGTGCGGCATTATCTGTGGTCATTTTGACATTGCGAGGAATAACGATGTAACAGCGCCATCTATTGTTAAACTACCACACTGAGTTATGCGAATTTCGTTCATTAATCGTTAAGGTGGCCACGTAAATAAATACTAATGTAAATTATGAAAGCTACAAGAAAGTACACGACATTATAATATTCTAATATTTTTTATAGAATATAAAAATATGATCAAAGCCTTCCAGTAATTTAGTGAAGTTATTATGAAAGGTACAGCTTATGAATAAATATTTTGCTGACCTGAAAGGCAGTGAAGGAAGTGGTTAGTTAACAAAATGCTTCCAATGCCGGCGTCAAAAGTTTCGATTGACGAAAGTGTGATATTATAAGTTGTTTTTGTTTCATTGTTGTGTGTTTTGTATTGACAATTAAATAGGAATAAGCTTGTTAGTTTACGAAGAAAAAAAAATTATAATTTATTAAAACGAATATTTAAGAAAGACGAGCCTTGCTTAAGAAGATTAGTTTAGTTGTATACATAGTAGCAATGAGCCTGTCATATTTATTCTTGATCCAAATTGCATCGTTTCAATTTAATATCCAAACGTTCTAGTCGGATTAAATAATCTTAATACTTCTCCTCCGCAACCACTTTAAGTACTAACACTGAATTTTACTGTAATTACGTGTAAATTCAAATATCAAAATGCTTAACTCACTTTATATTTTATCACAAAAAGTTAACTACTCAATTTAAATTAGGAACAAGATGAAATAATTTATAACAATATCTTATTTTATTTCTCTTCTAAATAATTAAATGAAAATTTATTAATGGCCGATTTTTTTTAAATATGTCAAAAAAGTTGACAACGAAGTCAATGTGAGAGCAAGAATAAATTGACCAATGTAGATCGACGAACGTCGAGGGACATTCAATAGGTGCCTTTCATATAAAAAATAAACTTATAATAAATTAATGTAATAGGTATTTGTAAATTGTAGTGTTCTTTTAAAATCCATCCGCTCGTATTGTGTATAACTCATTATCGATTACGTATTAAGTACATTTTAGTCAATTAATAAACTATATTCGGTCCGCCATCTTTGTATTTGCGACAGTTCGATATTTGAATTTTTCATTTGCAATTGCCGCCATTTTACATTGTATTTAGTTTAGTGATTGCGTTTAAATCATTGAATAATATTTTTTTCGTTCGCGATCCCGTGGCCATATGAGAAAAGCTAGTCATTAGAGTTACAATGTAAATTTAATGTTACTTAAAAGTTAAAAAAATATTTACAATTACTAATTAACCCCCATTTAATTAGTAAGGGGATGAAACTAAAAAAAATGTGGCCAAATTACACTTAATAAAAATCCAAATATATATACACAATTTTTAATAGAATTAGATTATGTAAGTACGGTATGATTAAGTTGACATTTTGTAGTGACATCTGTCAGTGACGTAACCGATCCGTTCGGAAACTAAAGAAAAATAAAAGTGACAATAAAAAGTCCCTAAAGGTTACCATAGACAACGTTTGAAATTCAAATTTAACATTGTCACTTAAAAGATCAATCACCGTTTATTATTAACGCAGGCTTTTCATTAAAAACGGACGTTAATTATTTTAAAAGGTTTTCAATTAATTTTTCACGACCTTATTTCGTACATTGGACTAAGAGGTTATAGAGATATAGTGAAGTAGGCAACGTAGCAATAAACGACAAGCAATAAATATAATTAAAAAATAGTATATTAAAAAGGCTTTAGTAAAGCTAGTGATCGGTACTGAAGTAGTTGACCATATATTCGTAACAATTGAACTCGCAGAATATTTTTTCTATAGTAAAATATGGCCGGGAATACCGAGATTGTATAAAGTGAAATCGATTTGAATTAGGGAAGCCATTTGGTACAATTATAACATAGCTATTTCACAGAAGAAAACTATAGATATATTGTTATTACAGCTATAATAGTTCAACTAGGCTGAAAAGCGGGGTTTAGTCAATTGCTAGCGTTAGACTTTATTAGAAAATATATTTAAAAAAAAAGGTCAGAAAATTAAAAGTCACTTGAGGCTTGATTACATTACTGGGAATGCAACAACTCGAATGTAAATCGGAACGGTGTAACATTGTACAATCTGTGAGGCAATATTGGTGACGAATTTAAAAGTTTATTGGTGCCGAAAATTCTAGACTGTGATTAAATTGTTCATTCTGAACGTGTCTTATATTGAAATAGTTGTTTTTGTATGATTGGCAAAACGCACGGCTCGTGCCCGTTCGATGTAAATTATAAAATTATACTGTATAAAGCGACAGACGGACATGTTGTATGAAATGCATTTGTTATAACGACTTTATTAATGGAAACCGATTAAATAGATGAGAAAGATGTTAAAAACTTTTATCTACAGCATTGGTAGACTACGGTAGTAGTTTTGTTGATAGCTTCGCAATAGTTTGTGCGTGCGTGACAGACGCCGCCATTTTGAAACCATTGACAATTCTCCATCTGACATTTGACGTTAAAAATGGCGCGCAGCTGTGACGACGTGACGGTAAATATTTTTTATTAGCACCATTATTACGATATGGAGAAATAATTGAAAGCCTAAACATTATGTGCCTTAGATACAACAATATTGTATAATATTTATGATGCGTTCTATACAACGTGCTAATTAGAAATAATGATTAATGTTGTTTTTCAAAGCCTGGGTCTCGACTTTTGTCTTCATTGTTAGTGTTCGTTAACGCAAGGCTTCTGTGTATCTTTCGAATTTTGTCTCTAACTTTGACCCCTCATTGATGTTTTGACCTTCCAAATTACGTACAAATGGCCCAAGTAATTTCATCTCGAGTTTTCCCCCTGTTTAGTCCAATTAGTTTTGTTGGGCGTCTAGCAATCAGGATTTTTTTATTATATATGGTAACCCTACCCTTTCCTGAATAATTATCTTACAATTAAGTAACGCTTTGATGCGTAGTTTTGCTGAAATATAAATAATTCTAATATATTCATATAATTTTAGTACTTACCTACATTATACCCACTTAAATACCTATTATATACTTTACTGTATCTACTCTATGCGATTTGAATTAGGCGCGCTTTTCTTTCGAGAGTAACATAGATGTTTCTATGTTCTCGCGACGCTTTTTCAAATTGAAACAATAATCGTAATAATACGATTTATATGTAATTAATCATTTTAATATCATTTGATTTTTATATTTGTTAATATTTGTTTAATATAACATAAATCCGTCTTGAATATTAAGTTTTATGGATTCTGGAATAACATACGTAACTAAAGATAACATAAGGAATTATTAATAACCGTTAGAAGAATACTCCTAGTTATTAAATTTTGTTCATCGAAATTTATGATGTGCAATTATTATTTTAGCGAATTTATTATTTAGTATTAAATGTCCATAACCCATATTATGTAAATACCTTCACAATTGTATTATATTTTGGATTTGTACTTAATAAATGCAGAATAAAACTAAGACAGATTGTTTGGGAATCAAATCTAAGAACAGTTCTTTCCATTTAGGAATTTTACAAAACTGAACCTTTATAAATGGATAGGTGATAACTTGGAAATGATAGATTTAGCTTGGTTACGATTTAAACGCGCCAGCGAGTCTAGACAAAGTGCATAAAACTGACGTTATTTTTGGATAAGTCACGTGATTGTCACGCGTCATTTCCATACATTATTGAAGTACGCAATGGAATCGCTTTGAAGCGAATGCATTTTGTTTAGCCCCGCTTAGTTTAGACCGTTACAAACCGCAACCATCAGCGCCAAAAACGGCGAGTGTCAAAAAAGCACAAAATACTATGTTCATAGCCAGACCATTTATAGAGATACAATACCCAAACAATTAATATTCTGTGAAAAACGAATAGCTAACAGCTTTCTCTGTCTGCACCAGTTTGGTTTAAAAGACGTGTAATTATTCTGTATAAACGGCAAGCGAATTTATAATTTAATTAAAGCCTTTTTATTGTATCTTAATATTTTTCCTTTATTTAGTTTTCTCTTCTCACGTTTTTTATAATTTTAGAATCCAATCATACCTAAATGAAATGATTTATTTTAAAAATGATTTAGTTTTTTTTTTAACTTCAAAGAAGCAAAAGCGATGAACATTTGATTTAGGTATGCATAACTAAAGATAGAATTGTAAAAATGTTATAACGT